AGACCTAACCAGGAACGACTGCAAAAAATGCAGCACAAAGTCCTCTGGTAGGAATTGAACCTACAGCCCTGCGATTCCGGTGCAGCGCTCTAACCAACTGAGCTACAGAGGCCAGCTGTTGAGCTTTAACCGTAAATTCATGTATATTTAAGTAATCGGGTGTGCGGGTTATGATAAGGTGGACTTCAATAATTTGGATTCTTGCACTTGTTGGAATTAACATTAGAATGTTAGGGTTTGTAATCCAAGTGAGAATATATACATTTTAAGACCTAACCAGGAACGACTGCGAAAAATGCAGCACAAGGTCCTCCGGTAGGAATTGAACCTACGGCCCTGTGATTCCGGTGCAATGCTCTAACCAACTGAGCTACAGAGGCCAGCTGTTGAGCTTTAACCGTAAGTTCATGTATATTTAGGTAATCGGGTGTGCGGGTTGTGATAAGGTGGACTTCAATAATTTGGATTCTTGGACTTCACTTGTTGGAATTAACATTAGAATGTTAGGGTTTGTAATCCAAGTGAGAATATATAATATTACATTTTAAGACCTAACCAGGAACTACTGCGAAAAATGCAGCACAAGGTCCTCTAGTAGGAATTGAACCTATGGCCCTGCGATTCCGGTGCAGTGCTCTAACCAACTGAGCTACAGAGGCCAGCTGTTGAGCTTTAACCATAAGTTCATGTATATTTAGGTAATCGGGTGTGCGGGTTATGATAAGGTGGACTTCAATAATTTGGATTCTTGCACTTCACTTGTTGGAATTAATATTAGAATGTTAGGGTTTGTAATCCAAGTGAGAATAATTATATACATTTTAAGACCTAACCAGGAACGACTGCGAAAAATGCAGCACAAGGTCCTCTGGTAGGAATTGAACCTACGGCCCTGCGATTCCGGTGCAGTGCTCTAACCAACTGAACTACAAAGGCCAGCTGTTGAGCTTTAACCGTAAGTTCATGTATATTTAGGTAATCGGGTGTGCGGGTTGTGATAAGGTGGACTTCAATAATTTGGATTCTTGGACTTCACTTGTTGGAATTAACATTAGAATGTTTGGGTTTGTAATCCAAGTGAGAATATATACATTTTAAGACCTAACCAGGAACGACTGCGAAAAATGCAGCACAAGGTCCTCTGGTAGGAATTGAACCTAATTGGCCCTGCGATTCCTGTGCAGTGCTCTAACCAACTGAGCTACAGAGGCCAGCTGTTGAGCTTTAACCGTAAGTTCATGTATATTTAGGTGATCGGGTGTGCGGGTTGTGATAAGGTGGACTTCAATAATTTGGATTCTTGGACTTCACTTGTTGGAATTAACATTAGAATGTTAGGGTTTGCAATCCAAGTGAGAATATATACATTTTAAGACGTAACCAGGAACGACTGCGAAAAATGCAGCACAAGGTCCTCTGGTAGGAATTGAACCTATGGCCCTGTGATTCCGGTGCAGCGCTCTAACCAACTGAGCTACAGAGGCCAGCTGTTGAGCTTTAACCGTAAGTTCATGTATATTTAGGTAATCGGGTGTGCGGGTTGTGATAAGGTGGACTTCGATAATTTGGATTCTTGCACTTCACTTGGTGGAATTAATATTAGAATGTTAGGGTTTGTAATCCAAATGAGAATATATACATTTTAAGACCTAACAAGGAACGACTGCGAAAAATGCAGCACAAGGTCCTCTGGTAGGAATTGAACCTACGGCCCTGCGATTCCGGTGCAGCGCTCTAACCAACTGAGCTACCGAGGGCAGCTGTTGAGCTGTAACCGTAAGCTCATGTATATTTAGGTAATTGGGTGTGTGTGTTGTGATAAGGTGGACTTCAATAATTTGGATTCTTGCACTTCACTTGGTGGAATTAAAATTGGAATGTTAGGGTTTGTAATCCAAGTGAGAATATATACATTTGTATATTCTCACTTGGATTACAAACTATTGTCACTTGGATTACAAAATATATACACAAAATATATACATGTACTATACATTTGTATATTCTCACTTGGATTACAAAATATTCTCACTTGGATTACAAAATATATGCATGCATATATTCTCACTTCGATTACAAACCCTAACATTCTAATATTAATTCCACAAGTGAAGTGCAAGAATCCAAATTATTAATTTCAAATGCCCCACCGGGGCTAAGGTTCGAGTGGAAATGCCCAACCCCCGGGATGTGCTTTACAGGAAAATGGCTGGGCAAGGGGGATGGGCACACTTGGATTTGGCTGATGCATTAAAAGTCCTGTGCTTATTCCAGACTGCTTGTCAAATAATTACTTGCTAGAAGTAGAAATTTACTCTTACCACTGGATGAAGAAGACATTAAATATAAAGTACTGGTCAATAAACAGAAATGTATTTTATTTCATAGTATTACAATTTTATTTTTATACTATTACTATAAAAATAAAATATAAACATGCAGCATAGAATATGCAAATTCGAGGCAAAATTATTGTTGAATCGGTTTATTTATAGGATTCTATAACAAATAGCAACTATAAAAGTTTGTACCTTGTCTTCACATCGCTTTATTCTGTTAGCCAATGCTTTTAAATTTACATATTTTAGAATCAGTTCCTTTCCTGGTAACTGCGTTTCTAAATGAAACCATCGTGAGTAGTGAGTGCTGAGCAGGCCGTTTTACTATAAACAAATTTTAGGAATTGATAACAACTTTGAAAAATATATCGTTGCACATTCGGTCACAGTCGGAAAAATGTTCATAGTATGTTGTACCGTCGTTTGCAACTAACGATGAACAGTCGCTCATAAAAACATTCGCGTGATTAGAATCTTCAATGTTTGTCAAGAACAACAACATTTAATTGTTGTTTCCCATGTGTGCAATAATAAGTAACAAAACTTTGTGTGGTCTGAACGTGTTGGGCTAGAGACCTACTGGAAACTTTTACAGGCTTTTTAATGAGAATAGAGAATGTTTTATCTGCAACTGTTCACCCTTAGTTGCAACCGACGGTATTTGACAGCGTAAAACTGCCTGTGGCTGTGATAACTGATATAAATAAAATACAGTCTGGTTATACTGACTTGAGCATGTCATGACAAACTCTTTATTGGAAAATTGTGAAGAAATAGTCGAATATAGAGGGTCGAATATCAAAGTTCAACTTGTATAGCTTCAGTATCATTGGTACATAGCGTTGTGAAGACAAGCCTTTGCTTACCTTTCGCTTCAGCAGTCTTTTTTTTCCATGCTTCTCTACGCTTTCCCAGGCGAGCTTCTCTTTCCTCAGCAGTCTCCTCGAGCAAACGTTGTCGTCTTCGCTCCTTCCTTTTCGCTAGACGTTCGGCTTTCTTGTCGTTTCCTTGCCGCTCTTCATTTGGCTCCATGCATATCTTTTCAACTGGTATTTGATACCGTAATTGTTTTATTAAACTTTTTATAGAACAAATTGCTTTGAAAGTTCTCAAAAGTTTTTGCAAACGTACAAAAACTGTTGTGCAAAAAGCAAATTAATATTTTGATGAAGTATCTGTCAGTTGAAGTCGTCATTTGTCATACAACAACAAATTTTAAATTTGACCAATCAGTGTTCGCTATCCATGACAGTCCGCCATATATTTGAGATCAGTGAGGATGACCACCCACGGTTGGTCACCCACGCCCGCGATATTTGATGAACTTTAGACTCCGCTAATGCTTTCGTTTCCCCGGGTGTAAATAGCTGGGGGGTATTAGTACCCTCGCACGGCGCTTCGCGCCGCCGGCTCGGGGATTATAAAAGACTATTATTAATCGTCGAAAAATTGATAAAATACATGTGGAAATGCGGGGTTTTTCGAACCTTTGTAACGCTTGAAAAAAAGAAATAAATACGTTAGACATCTGTCTAAACACGTTAGACATCTGCTCAAACTCGGGTCTAATTTCATTTGCACAAATATCGCGTACTTCGAGTGAGTATCTGAACGCGATAAAACAACACATACGAAGAACTGATACTAATACATAAGGTTTACTAACTTACTTACCAATGTCGTATATAGACAAAGGTCCAACTGTTTTGTAAGATGTAATTGATGCGCATATTCATTCTCAATCGCGCTCGCTGATGTCCGTCCGTATCCGCGTTTTATCCAAAAGGATAAAACGCGGACATGGTGCAACTTTCATGCTTAATTTTCTCTGTTATCTGGGCATGTAGTAATGTAATTTTATGCCAATGTAATGTGCTGTTTTCCAAGGCCTTTTAATGCAGTTATTGGCTTAAATATAACTAAATTTTCTGTTAAGATATGACAATTTCCGTACGGCCTACTTTTACGCAAACGCGATAGCTACAATTGCAAAATTTCATGCTTAATTTTCTCTGTTATCTGAGTATGTAGTAATCTAATCTTATGCAATGTAATGTGCTGTTTTTTAAAGGGCTTTTCAATGCAGTTATTGGTTTAAATATTCCTACCAGAAAATACATGCATGCCAGAAACCCTCGCCTTTTACGCTCGCGCGTGGTGCTCGGGCATGCATCGAGTCTACTCAGTTTATTATTATGCCAAGGTTGGCAAGACTTTTAACGGAAATTTATTACAACATTTACTAGAGTATGGATATTTCGCAAATTACAAGCAAAAACAATAAAAAATCTACATCATTTCATCTTGAAGAAGGCTGATTGGCTGTTGTGCATGATTCCGTACAACAGCCAATCAGCGCTTCTTCAAGATTTAAAAAATATGACAACACCACAGAGTACGTGACCCCAGCATAGTTTTGACAAAACTTTGCAAAAAAACCCGAAAATAATTCACTTTTTTAACAACCTTAGACTGAACTTTTGAAGTTAAAACTTTGAGAGAATGTAGTAAAATTACCAGTGTTTGAAATGATGTAGATTTTATATTGTTTTTGCTTGTAATTTCATAGGCTGCCCAAAAGTGCGTGTTGAAATTTTTACCCTCGCGCGTGGCGCTCGGGCATGCATGCATCGAGTCTATTCAGTTTATTATTATGACAAGGTTGGCAAGACTTTTAACGGAAATTTATTGCAACGTTTACTAGAGTATGAATGTTTCGCAAATTACAAACAAAAACAATATAAAATCTACATCATTTCAAACACTGGTAATTTTACTACATTCTCTCAAAGTTTTAACTTCAAAAGTTCATTCTATTAAGGTTGTTAAAAAAGCGAAATATTTTCGTTTTTTTTGCAAAATTTTGTCAAAACTATGCTGGGGTCACGTACCCGGTGGCACAGATGAAGTATATACTTAATCTATGCCGGTGGTGATGTCATATTTTTTAAATCTTGAAGAAGCGTTGATTTGCTGTTGTACTGGAATCGTGTACAACAGCAAATCAACGCTTCTTCGGCTTCTTCAAGATTTAAAAAATAATATTATGACATCACCACAGGGTACGTGACCTCAGCATAGTTTTGACAAAATTTTGCAAAAAAAACGAAAATATTTCGCTTTTTTAACAACCTTAGAATGAACTTTTGAAGTTAAAACTTTGAGAGAATGTAGTAAAATTACCAGTGTTTGAAATGATGTAGATTTTATATTGTTTTTGTTTGTAATTTGCGAAACATTCATACTCTAGTAAACGTTGTAATAAATTTCCGTTAAAAGTCTTGCCAACCTTGTCATAATAATAATTAAACTGAGTAGACTGGATGCAAAAATTTCAACACGCATTTTTGGGCTGCTATGCTTTATCGATAAACTTTGAGTTTGCAATAATATGATTTCAAATTCTCCCTTGCAAATAACTTAGCTTTCTTTTTTATTTAAAAAATTCAATATCATAAAAAAGGGAATCAATATTAAAGATACACTGAAATTATATGCTGTCTTGTTTAGTTGTTAATTCATATACGCAAAGCCAAAGGCCGTCGGGTTTTAAAGCCATTATAAAATCAATATTTAAAACAAACTTACCTTCGTTAACGTCGGCTCCCTTCTTTTAGCCGATTCTTTCGCCCTTTCTTTCTTTCTTGAAATTTACAAAATCTTGCAAAAATGCGGGCAAAAATGAAATATATTTGCAAGAAATTTATCAATCATCAAATCTGTGTGACCAGATATCAGTTTGCAAGGCAATTACTAAATAAGCATGCAAAAAATTACCAAAACGCAGAAAAAATTACTAAATTTCTGCTGTCAACCAAAGTGGTCTGAAAATCAGTAAAACATCTCTGTAAAACAGAATCAGTACTAATCTG